GGGCTTTGAGCTCCTTAAACTGGGTCTGTATCTCCTCAATTTCCAGAGCCACCTCATAGCAGTCACTGGGCAAGAGCTTGAGAGGGGCCACCACGCACCCCAGCTGCAGCCCCAGTTTCCCTGGAGGTTGCACTCTCAGTGTATTTATCCTGTCTGCAGGGTGTCATCCAGGCTTCTGATGCCACTGTCTAATGAAGAGGAGAAGCCCTGAGCTCATCTGGTCTGGTTCCCCACGGTCAGCAGTCCCTGTGCCTCCTCTTTCAGAATCCCCCGAAGCTCTGCCCTCCCTTATTTTTCTCTCTCTCCTCTCCCTGATGGCTGGTCCATTTTCTCACAAACTCATCTCTCATAACAGTGCTTCACTGCTTCAGATCCAAAAGCCTTCCGAGTGGTTTTCTGTTACTTTGAAAAACTCAGCTGACACTTAGTAATTGTACATACGTGTGGGCTGCAGTGTGATATTTTGATATAGTATGTGTACTGTAATGAGTAAATCAGGGTAGTTAGTATATCCATCATCTCAAACACTCATCATTCCAGCGGTTTTTAACTAGCAGTGGTCCTGCTTACCCTCCTGGGGAACATCTGGAGACACTCTGCATTGCTAAGCCTTGGGAGACAGGCAGCAGCTACTACACCTCAGCGATAGAGAGCTGGGATGCTCTAACCACTCTGCAGTGCACAGGACAGCCTCCAGCAACAGCATGACACTGCCTGCTCCAAATATCCACAGTACAGACAGAAGAAGCCCTGATCCAGTCTGATGGCTGGATGGTGACAGGGCTGGCCCGGGGTAAGCTTTGGGAGATGCCTTTGGGAGACAGAGTGTGAGTGGTGGAAAGAGCACAGCTCTGGACCAGGACCGGTGAGGGTCAGGCCCACCACATGCAGGCCTGCAGAACTGACTTGGCCAGGCTATGTCTTGGCTGCCTCCTTTAAACACAAGGATGGTGTCCATTCATAGTGCTTGCGAGGGCCAAGATGAGCCCCTCCGTGTCCTATGGGTTCCATGCAGATGTTGCTGTGCTGGTTCCCCACATGCCCTGTGCTCGCCTATGAGGACCTCAGGTCCCTGTCTTGCAATTGCTCATTTCATGATCTGTCTCTACTAGTCTGGACACTCAGGACATGGGGACGTGTGTGTCTTGCTCACTTTTGTGTCTGGGTAGCTCACACGAAGGCATCAGTAATATCTGATGAATGAATGAATGAATGAATGAAGATAAGGTCTGAGATAGTATTGTGTATCATTTCCCACCAGATGAAATTTAAGTGTTTAAAAGGCAGTTTTTGGCGATATATGAGTAACTGATGTATACTGAATTGCATGTACTAAAGTGTGCGATTCCACATCTGGGACATAAATCCCCAATCGTGAAACCATCAACAACAAGGTAACAAACACATCTTCCCTGCCCAAAAGCTTCCTCGGGTTCTTTTTGTAACCCAAGAAAAGTTTGGCAGAACTCTTCATAGAATCCCACACCTGAGGCAAATCTGGTCCTGAGTCTCAGTTTCCTTGTGTGTAAAATGAGGCACCATGGCCTTGCAGGGTTGGGTGAGGTGCATACAAGGCAGCTCATCAAGGCTCAGCGGGGCTGGAAGAGACCAGCACAGCAGGCTGGGTCTCCTTCTTGTCCTCCCTGAGCTCCCCATACCTGGAATTCTTCCCCCACCTAGTGACATACTTCTTCCCTCGCATGTGCCCTGGGGCTGTCCATCTGGACAATCTCTCTGATCTTTCTCCCTTCTTTATTCCAGAGGCCTTTACAGTCAGGAGTCCATAACTCAATGTTTCTAACTCTGGCTTGGTTTTATTTGCAGTTCTCTCTCTCTCCTCCCAAACACAGAGAAAGTAACGGACATAAAGGTAAAATCGGTATCATAAATATTTTTTCTCTACTTCTTTTACCATTCCTGGCTCAAGGCTGACAATGCATTCAAAAGAGGTTGACCGACTTGTTTATAAAAGGGTTTTCATCTCAAGGCATTTTACTTTATTACTTTTTTCTAGTTCATCTTATAGATAATAGTGTAGCCATATCTGTGATCAAACACTGAAGAGGACCGGCTCACTCTGTACCACCCTGCCATTGCTTCTTAGTGCCTGGACATTCCCCCTTTCCTCTTATATCCGTATGCACCGAGAATTTATGCAAAGCTGTGATCTCAGTGTAGAGGGAACCTGGCCTTCTGCCTTCTTCCCTCAATCTGCCACCACGGACATTTTTTCATTTTGTGACACAGCCTTCATAATTATCACTTTCTAGTGGCTGCGTGATACTTAAGCACAGGGATACAGCACCGTTTCCCTTCTGCTAGTGATAGAGGCTGGCTCTGAGTTTCCTCTGTTATAGACAGTGCTATAATTCACCCTGCTGACCTCGCTGAACTCTAACCACAACACAGGAGCAGCGCTGGGTCCTGAAGTGAGCAGCTCTGTGGCTGCAATGCTGACCTGACTCAGGGCCATTTCCTGCCAGCAGGAGGACTGGACAGAGGCTCTCGCCATATTCACACTTCCTGGTCATTTTTAACCTAATCCTGGGGTCTCCACTTACAACTACAGTGAGCTGTTAGCAGTCACACTTGAAGGGAGGTGGTGGGGAGCTGGGTTAGCTCAGGGGCTGCTGCCTTCAGCTTCTTCTGATCTCAGTAGAAACCACTGGTTCCCGGGCTAATGGAGCAGGTCAAGGGCAGCAGGGAGACGAGACAGGGTGGAGAGGGCAGCAGCACCCCGGCTATGGAATGCCATGTTTTCAGAGCGCTCCTGCTCCTGGCCCTCTTCTTGTACCAACCCTACAATCTACGGCCTTCTTCCGCCCTGGCCTCCTAGCAGATTCCTAAGCACATGCTGCTCCCCTACTCTGAGAAGCTCTTCCCTGGCCATCTTTTCAGCCCTCAACCCTAGGCTCACGTTGTCTTTGCTTGATGCCTTGTCCAACTGCCCCATCTGCAGCTGTTCCCTGGCACTCCAAACAGCTCCATCAGAGCACAGAGAAAAAGTCTAAATCAGTTATTTCCCTTTATAGTTTTTGTTGTTGTTGTTGCTCCCCCCACCAGACTCAAGCTCCATGAGGAAGGTGACTCTTGAGGCAGTCATTGCTGGTCTACTCTCCATGGGGCGGTACACAGCCCGTCAGACACTCATGGTTATTAAGCAGGTGCACGAATAACAAAACAGTGCTGGCAAGAATGTCCCATAAGAGGATGAGAGAAGAGATTACAGAAGGGGAGAACGGTAGCTTGAGTTCATTCTGCAAACCACAGCTTGAGAGACTCCAGGTCACAGCGTGAAGCACTCCTCGGTAGCTGTGGCCTCAGACAAAGCGAGGTCCTTAAAGTTTCCCCTGTGGCCTCTGGACATCCGAGAAACAGAGTCCACTCCTAAATCTAGTTTCAAAGCTCTCTTTTACATGTCCTGCTGGAAATACTGGAACAATCTTAAATTATATACAATTCTCTACATTTAAAATGGTAAAAACAAACCTGAAAACTCAGTCCATCACAGACTTTACAAGAAACTCCCCAAGTTTCACCAAATCTAGTCTAAGCTGATCTCCCCAGACAACCAGCTCTCCCATCCTCTGGTCTTTCACTTTCCCGTCTTAATTTGTGATGTGGAGAAAATTGTTTCTTTATGAGGATGCTGCCTGGGAAACTTAATACATTTATACCTTACAACTGAGAGCTGGAAAATGGAAATACTGAGACAGTGGCTCCTTTGCCATCTCCGATTCCCTTCTGGAGCTGTGAGCCCAATAGGCCCTGGGAATGAGCCTGGAATGCTGACCAGCAGCCGGGGTAAGACATACAAATCATCTGTAATTGTGGAGGCAGCTGCGTTTCCCATCTGATTCCCTGCATTGACACCCACACCTGGCCACGATCAATAGCTTCGGGATCACAGATGGAATAAGGATCTGGTTATAAACCAACACTGCCCCGGGAGGCTATGACAGCCAGCAGACTGATCACCCTGCCCACCACCTTTCCACACTCTGCCCGTGATTGCTCAAAGCCCAAACCTTCCTGTCACATTAGTCCATCAGGAGCCTTTGGTCATACACAGCTTGAAGTCTGTTTCCTAAGTTGTATGAAGTCTTTATATGCATGTGGCACCTGTCTCCTTGCCCAGCATTATCTCCTGTCCCTCCTTCCCTTTCCTCCCCAGTGGTCTTTTGTCAATATCCATGATTACATCAGATAATCACACATCTCTCGCCTTACACCCTGATATACTTCTCTGCATTTCTCCCAACCTCTGAGGCCCTCCAGTTCCTGAATGTGTGCCTGTGACTCCCTTCCAAGAGCACTCCCCACACAGCCCCCTTCCTCCTTAGCATAAGCCTCACTCTGCAGAGAAGCACTCTGTACGATGAAAGCACCGGGTTCCGAGTCCAAATGCCTGGCTTCAATCCAGGCCTCACCACTTCCTACCTGTGCCAGACCTGCCTGCACACACAGCTGGGTAATATTTCCTATTTGCTTTCAGTAAGATATGGCCAAGGACCTGAGCATCAGAACCCAATACAAGAGGCTGTGTGTTCTTTCTGGGTCTGACCTACAGAAACCTCCCACTCATGACCCTTCAGTGTCATTTCTTATCTGCCTTCTAGAAGCAAAGGACCGTAAGACCCAAGACCATGGTGGGACCATCAGGTGAAATGATCCTGAGCCCAGGAGTCTCCTTACAGATGATCATCCACCCAACGAGAAATAAACTTCTAGGTGTTAAGGCAGTGTAGTAACAGCCAGAATAACTTTTAACACATTAGTTCTGAAAGTTCCTTAATGGATTTGTTCCATGGGAATAGTAATAGGGTAGTTGAGAGGATTAGATGAGATATCATGTGACGCGCTGGGCACAGAGCTAGAATACTAAGCCTCCAATAAAGGTTGACTACTATTACTTTATCAGCCATCCTTTAACTGAGTGCGATTATTCTTTGAGAGATAAGCAAGGGTCAGCCTGGTGCTCTGTGGAGCAAACCTCTTACCTTTTTACTTCTTGCACATAGTCTGCATTTCTGTCAAAGAGGTGGGTCACAGAGTCTTTGATTGCTTCATGCTTGAAAGTGGAAGCTGTCCCAAAGACAGTCACGTTGGGGATAGTGGAACACAGCTGAGCCACAGCTTGACCCTGGAAACGACATACAAATAGGCAAGTCACACACAAGAGCTACCATGTGAAGTGAGGTACTGTATAACACAGGTCAAGGTGGTGTCAGCTGCCTAGCAACCTGTCTCGCTAGGCTTTCACAACTTTGGTGCTACTGTACTGGCATTTTTAGGTTGGATTAGTCTTTGTCCTAGAAGCTAAAGTGTGCACTGTAAGCTCCCTAGCCTCTACCTGTGAGGTGCACACAGCACTTTACTTCTAGTTGTGACAACCAAAAACATGTCCAGATGTTCTCCGGAAGACTAATGTGCCCTGGTTGACAATCGCTGGTGTAGAGAAAAGTCAGTGAGGGTCAGACAAACCCCAGCAGCAAGACTCCACTATCACTTATGTACGCGCAGCTGTAAACTGGTAATAATGCTGCTGCACCACTGAGGGACATCTTAGTCTGGATCTCCCAGAAGCAGACCCTGACATGGACATTTGAATGTAGGTACTTGTCTGGAAGATGTTCTCAGAAAATAACATAGTACTAAGACCAATGAAAAAGGCAGCCGATGAAGGGTGTGTTATCAAGCCCAGATTCACCACGGCCACCACAGCTTCATTCCATGGAGGAACGTGAGCAAGTGCAGAATAGACCTAAGAGTCATCCCCACCAAGGGGTGAGGAAGGTGGGGTATTGATTCACGCAGCATGTGCCCATCCAACACTGGCTGAGGACTGCCTCTGCAGCAACTCGTGTGCACCTGTGGCTTGTCATTATGGGCCAAATGGGGTCCCGTGGCCACATGGAAACCCCTAGGAAGCAATTTCCAAGATGCAGAGTACAGAGCAAATAGTGTGTGGCTGACGGCATCTGCTACAGGGAGATGTTAAATGAGGTGTTATACAATGCAGGGCGAGGTCTCGGTACAAAACGTGATACTTAATAAATCTTAATTTTCTTCCCCGCTTAGGGGCATATTATATTCAGGGCTGAGAAGTCCAGGCATATCAAGAAAAGGTCAACATAAATTTTAAGTACTAAATAGTCCAGAGGGAAATTACAAATGCAGTTAGGAATGGGTGGTTTTCTATATCCTTTTTCAATGTGGTTGAAATCTAAGTCATTGGACAAAATATTGCAACCACTTATATTCAGCAACCTTCTAGCAAAACCCAATTTGCCAGTAATTAAGATGCATTCTAAAACCACTATCTCTTTCCAGCATCCCATCTGCCATTTTAAGGAGGGAAATTATTCTCCCAAAGTCATCTGTGATATTCTTTTCTGCCTATCATCTTGTTTTCATGTCTTCGGGTTGGTGGATAATTCAGGTTGGCAGGTCAATTTATGGAAATGTTATCACCAGTTGCAACTACCGGCAACATGGAGAGACTCCTAGAATGTCAGAGCTGGAAGATCATCCGAGTGCCTGGCCCTCATCATTGTCTTATAGATGAGGGAAAGGGTGCCCAGAGAGGAAAAGGTCACAACTGTCAGAGGCACGTCTGGGATTCAGAGCGAGGCCTCCTGACTGCCCTGGTTGCCATTTCCTATTATGCCATGCTGTCTGCTGGTTTTAGCATTTTTAGCTACACAGACTTTTCTGTTGCTACCTAAAATAGACATGTCACTGGCACCTTCACTTGGAGGTCAACATCTCAGAACCTGGGCGTGACCCCAAGACTATACATAGGCTACCATTCTCTGTTCTAATAGCTTTGATATTTAATTTTTTTATTCCAGATTTTACAGAACAAAGATGTTTCTATCTTTTGTAGTGAATACAAATATTGGCAGCCATAGCCACAAGTCTCTAAAATTCACTGGCTTCATCGAAGCCACAGAAGGAGCTCCATGATAGGACTGAGTTAACTGTATTAGACCTGGTCTAGAAAGTTAGTAAGATCTCAACGGCCTCATAATCCTGTTTGCCCTCTCTCCTTAGAAAACATGATCTTCATCCATTTGACTATTCTCAAATGCCCATGGTGTAGTAGTCACACTGTGCCACAGATGCCAGGGCGTCAGAAACTGTTGGCACACCTTTGTCACAAGTCCAGGCTGCTCACTGAGTCCTGGACTTGCATCTACAACTACCGTTTGGGCATGTGTCTCCAGCCTGGCTGTCCCCAAAACAACACATCAAACTCAACTGACCCAGAACATCTCCAGGTGCATGAGCATCTCCAAATGCATGACTGATTAACTGAATTAGTTTTCTAGGGTTGTTGGGGTGAAACACCACAAGTGGGTGGCTGAAGCAACTAGCTGTGCACTTCACCTTCTCTGACAGTCTGCGGCTTGAAGTCCCAAGTCCAGGCTGTGGCGTGGCTGGTTCTTTCTGAGCGGAGGAGGGAAGGCACTGTCCAGGCCTTCCTCTTTGGCTAGCAGGTAGCCCTATTCTCCATCTCTGCACATCATATTCCCCCATACCGATTTCTTGCATCTGAATTTCATCCTTCTTATGAAGTCACCCTGGGGTAGCATACACTCTAATGACCTCACTTTAACTTGCCTGGCTCTGTAAAGGTTCTGCTATCACTTGGATCTTAAATGTCCTCCCAAAGCCTTTGAGCATGCTGAAGACTTGTTCCACAGTGTGGAGCTATTTGGGGGTTGTGAGATCTCTAAGAAGTGAGGCCCCTAAGAGGGGGAGTTTTCAGGTTACTGGGGTGTTCTCCTGAAGGGGACAGCAGGACCCCAGCCCCTTCCCCTCTTTTTGCTTCCTGGCTGCCAGGAGGTGAGCAGCTTTACTCTACCATGTGCATCTGCTCTTGATTCAGTGCTTCAGCACAGGCCTAAAGCAACAATTGATCATGGACTGGAAACATCTAAAACTGAAAGAGAAATAAATCTTTTCTGTCGGTTGATTTATCTCAGGTATTTGATATAGAGATGGAACGCTGATGAACACACACACCACCTCCATGTAAGGTCCCATTCTGAGGGTTAGCTGGGAGTTTGGGGGGAACACAATTCAACCTATATATTTCTCTTACGCATCCCTTTCTTCTCTGAACTAGAGTGAACTCTTTAACCACCAAAGATGGACCCTGGGCATCACCCGTCCCTCACCCTTCTTCCTCCCTCACCCTATGGCCAGCCAGGCACCCATCATGCTCTTTCGTTCTCCTCAGCATCTCTTGTGACTGTCCCTTCCTGGACTGGGTGGCCACATTCCCTTTCCTGGATTATGACACCACCCCTCTAAGGATGTCCTCCTGCGGTCAGAGTCACATTTTCCAAACACAACATGAAGCATTTTGTTATTTGCTTCAAAATGTCCCGATGCCTCTCACAGCTTTGCCAGGAAAGTATGCACCCTTTCTTTTGTTGCACAAGAATAGCCCTGTGACGTGACCTTGCCTGCCTTGCTAACATGCTTCCCTCCACTCTCCCAGCATGATCTCTCTTCAAGGCTACGGAACTTGAGCCATTGCTGAGTATTGGCCATGAACCTGCTGCCAAGAAGCCCTCCTCTGGTGGCTCTCTCAGCACAAGCCTTTGACTTCATTTCACTGAGGAGGAGGAGGAGGAGGAGGAGGAAGGGGAGGAGGTTGAAGTTGACAGGAGGGGCCTGGCCCGAGACTACCAGAGTCAGTACATGGTCTGCTTCACTCCCTGCTACTGCACTCGCCAGCTGGGACGCATGAATGGTGCTGCACTCAACACTGAACCTCTGCCGCTTTGTCTTCAGTGTGTGTGTGTACACAGCCTAGGACTGGGCTGGAATCTTGTGATACCATGCTTCAGAGAGATCAGGACGGTGAATGCTCAAGCAGCATCTGCCGCCACTCCTGTGAAGACTGGTGCTACTCCTTTCCTCTGGGTCATTAGGTCAGCAGGGGCAGCAGGTCTGTATCCTTCCACCAGCTCCTCACATGTGGTGCTATTTCAGCATCCGTCTGTTTGTTGCATGCAGAATGGCCGTCCTTTCTCTCCTCTTTCTTCTCCAGACACAGCTGCTGCCTCCTCTTCCAAGAGCCTTTTTCAATATCCCAAGCACCTTCTTTCATGCCTCCACAGCCCTGTGGGTACTTCCCTGAGGACAAGAGCCACTGCAGCCTCCTGGGCTTCCCTGAGGCCCCTTGGTGAGTCTGGATGGCAGGGACTATGCCTCAACTGCTCTGCCCTGGGGCCCACTCAGGGCTGGGCATGCAGCAGGTGTGCAGTGAATCTTGCAGACTGGATGCATGAAAAACTGCAGGAGGTGTGTGTCTTGTGGCTGCCCCTCCACCCCCATGGTGTGTCCTTCAGTACTGCAAAGATGGAGTAAAGCATAGGTTCAAAAAATTACATCCATTTGAATTACACATAGCATTGTCCATATTTCAGTACAGGTACACAACGTGTAATGATCGGATCAGGGTAACTCTCTGCAAGCAAGTCTGAAACATTTGCTTAATTGTTGTCAACAGTAGTTCCCTTTCTGTGCCTTGGAATAGTAGGAGTTATTTCTCCTACCAACTGCACCCCTGTACCCGCTAATCCTCCCCGCACCCCGACTGCTTTCCAGGTGCTGGTAGCCACTATTCTATTCTCTACTTCATTGAGATTAACTTTGTAGCTTCTACATAAATGAAATCATGTGGTTCTTGCATTCTGTGCCTGACTTATTCCACTTAACATAATGTCCACCAGCTCCATTTATGTCATTGCAAATGACAGAATTCAATTATTCTTTGGCTAAATAATATACCAGTTTGCATTTTCTTTATCTGTTCCCCAGTGATGGACACTTAAGTCCATTCTGTATCTTACAAGTTGTGAATAGTGCCGCAATAAACATGCAAGTGCAGCTGTTTCTTCAACCTGCTGATCTCAGTTCCTTTGGGTATATACCCGGCAGTGGGATTGCTGGATCACATGGCATCTCTATTTCTAGTTTTCTGAGGAAATTCCATACTGTTTTCCATAATAGCTGTGTTAATTTACACTCCCACCAACCAACCATGTGGGAGAGTTCCCCTTTCTCCCTTAAAGTGTAGATTTGATTAACATATGCCACCTGACTGAAGCAGAACTCTCCTGT